TAATATTATGTTATCTTTTTCTTGTCTAGTTATTATTATAAAATTTAAGTGTAGTTGTCAACTCACTTCTCGGGTTAGCATATTAGATCTTACACATCGGGTTATATCTATTTACTGTAATTACATTAGTCTAGGTAAGTCTAATTAATGAATTTCCAAATCCTTAAATATCTTTATTTTTCTTTTATCTTTCTTTTACATTTTCTTTATCTCCTTAAGCAGATTAGTAGGTTTGTTATTGTCAAAGCATTTTGAGAATTATGAGGTGATATAGTGATCATAATTTCATATTATCGGATACTCTTGCCGTTGGTAATGAAGGTTGCACATTGTGCGAGGAGCTGGAGTAGTTAAGGAGATGAGTGATAGAAAGGATGTCAGATAACAATAGATAGTATTTTATTCTACCAGTACTGTGTTGTATATATCTCTCAGTTGTTTTATATATTTTAACATATACATTGTCTTGGACATACTTATAAGAGACAGATTGTTGGTTATATTTATTATATTATATTTATCTCTAGATCCCGATTTAATATTATAGCACTTTCTAATACATTTCCATATTATATATTTGTGTTCTAATAATATAGCTTTCTTTGTCATTTTTCTGTTTTATTTGTTTCATCTATATTATTTTACTCATTCTCCCTTACATTTAGCTCTCTTATATCTGCACGTATCTCTTATCCCCAATTAGTATAACAATGGTCCAATAAGCTAACTCTGTAATTATACATATATATAATGTGATTGAGAGTTTTTTTAGTATACAATAACTTTATTTTTCACTCCACTTACTACCACACTTACCTGATAACATGTGCACCCTTTTTTCACTCCACTCCCACCACTCCCTGACACTGCACCCAATAACAGTACTTCTTGACTTACAAAAAAAATTCTAAAAGGCTTGCTGGATTGAATCAAACATCTTATCTGGATCACTGAAGGACACTGCTGTCAATACTATTTAGTTTAGTCCTTTAACTTCTAGCCTACTGCATATATTGTCTAATAGCCTTGAATAGCTATAATATATATACTTATTGGTATAATATATCATACTTCAACTTTATATAATATTGGCCCAAATATAAATCATGCAACTTCACATTCTTTTTATCTCTCATTTTTCATGTAACTACTATCACACCTTGTGCATTTAGTACTATCAATACATTACTTGACATTTTCAACTTTTTTGTATACGTTTCACTATAATAACTTATTAGTTGACATATATATAGTGTTGAAGCAAAATCATATCATCTGATAACTATTTATTATATGACTACTTCAATTATTCTACTTCTTTAATATATATATATTTATTATTATATTACGTTATATATTTATATATAATAATATATATCTTATATATATATATATATGTATATTAATATATATATATATATATATATATATAATATATATAATATATATATATATATATGTATATATAATATGTTATATATAATATATATTATATATATATATATATATCTATACATCTTGCTCCTGCAACTACATCCCTTCACAGAACGACAGGGGCAAGCTATAGTTTGTTTTTTTTCTCTTCAATATAACATTGGGACATACTGAATGCTTTTCCAGTTTTGTTTTCAGTTGATCAATAACCTTTTGTTTTTGCTGAATCGGTACTACTTTCCTCTCTACTGCTATCTCATACAATGTCATTCGTGTCTTATAATTAATAGAACTTCTATATATTATTTATTATATATTATATATATATAATACGTTTATATATATATATATATATATATATATATATTATATATATCACTATAAATTTATCATACATCTTCCTTTCTTATCTATAATTCTAATTATTGTATATTCCTCTTCCTTTGCCACAAACGCGAATGTACCTGTCACTATACTATATATATTGTTGAGCTTATAAAATAATATAAATAGTGTCGATTAAGATAAATCCAATGTTTATTACTAGCTATATTAATATACTTATCAGTACAATATTTTTGTTAATGTGGACATGATATCGCAGGTTTATAATTGACATCCATTGACAGCTTCCTGTTTTAGTGTCCTGCCTCAAGTTTTGGTAGTTTGTGGGTAACAGGCTTGGTGTATTTTAAAACAATTAAAAACATCAGAACAGCACTGCCTCACTTCTGAATTATAGGGATGAAGCAAAGTACAGCACCCAGTACCACTATACTTTTACAGCAGCTTTCAGTAAAATGTGTTATAATATTATAACTATGAGTATTTACAGTCCAATTAATCCTTGTTGAAATTACGCCTATACCAATCTCAGGGTTGCTTCTATATACTTATTACAGAGCAATTCACATGAATAATAATATTATCAATATGCCTATCTGAGGTGTATCATATCCTGTAAGGAAGACTTACTAGGAACGCTCAAACTACAAAGTGACATGTTATTAATTATAATTAGACTTATACTAAAGTTGATTCTAAGTATGTAGTGAAATAATATTATCAAGATTGCTTTTTTAGGTGTTCTGTATAATGTCTTAGATTATGAATTGATAGAGTGTTAAGATAAATAACTTGCCTGGTAATTAAATATATTGTTTGTTATATATATATATATACTAGAGTCAGTGTCTAATTAGTACTTAATAGTTAGTGCGATTGGCCTATATATATACTCATCATATGACCTCGAGTACTCTTTACCTTTCTAGAGAAGATGACCTGTTTATATTAACGTATCCTTTATAGGTCGATGGGAATGAGTGCCTCTTGACTGTGCGGTTAGTATATGGTGATAAAGGACATAACATGCAATCCTCACTTACCTCATAATCAGGTTCAAACGTCAACCTTTGACAGTTTCAAGCATTAAAGGCTTACTGCTTACTATACTACACTGTATATATTATCAGCTTAGGGGATATTGTCCATATTCCTAACTTATTTCTTAATGATATTGGGTAGGATAAGTACTCAGCTGTGGGATTATGTGGTATAATGGATCCAGCACAGGGATTGTTAGAACAGCACTTGCAACTAAGCTAACTGCTTCAGTGAATCATAATTTATGGATATCAGTGACTTTGGTGTCTTATATCACTAGGTTTATCACTTTAACATAACATGCAACACTCTAAAATTAGCCTGAGATATCTGTCACAACTATAGAGCATAGACTCATGCAATCTATTATGATAAGGATGCGGCTGGAGTTTATTTAATGTCATTTTCTCTGGAGCATGTGATTGGAAGGATATTATGGTATTGTATATACTTTAGTATATAAGTAAATGGCTTCTATATACAATACCTCCTCTAATTTCAAAAGTTACTGATGTATCCCCTAAGTTCCTTGATTTCTTTATGTACTGTAAGTGACCAATGATCTATGTCATATCAAGGATATAAGAATAACACATAAATTATCAATCGATTTTTATTCATATATGTTAATTTATATCTTCTCCTGGCACCTATATAGTGTTGAGTCTGTAATATATATATGGGAGCAGCCTGGCTCATGTGAATTAGTAATGCATGTGGGACAAACCTAGTAGAAGATAATGGCTTATAAGGCAGCATATGCAACATACATATTATATAGATCTGTCATGAGGAGTTTGCTTCATAGTATGTGAGTGATCACACCTTGAGAGATCACATGACTGCGACAGATCTTTTCGCCATGAGCGCGCACCCCCCAAAGGTAGAGCAACGAATAGGAGTGGAGCGTGGCTTATGTGCTCCCGGTCAGTGTTAGCCTTCCATGATGATGATGATGATACCGGCGATCGATCGACCTATGCAAACCATGCTCGATAAACACGCGCCAGGACTCGGTGCATCAATTCAAGCGAACATGCATCAAATAGACTTTCTCAGATGTAAACAAACCCGGAAAATAAACTTCAGGTGCTGGATGCGATACGTACACAGCAGTATACAGTTCGATGCCTCGTTTCTTAATTCAATGGTCGAGCACTCATGGGCGGATAGTTATGGAGAGGAGGCAGTGGACCGCAGTGATAAATGGGTAACTCACCGACGCAGACTATCTAGGGTCTAACTGTACATATATATAGACTTATAGACAAGAAGTTGGCGTAGTCACAGTAAATAGGAGGGAGCGCATGATGTGGATGAGAATGGGAGAGTGTGAGATAAGATCATCATAGGTATGCAAGGGGAGGGTGAAAGAAAGAGAAGAGTCAAGTGGAGTGCAGAGTGGGTTGGAATTGGATGTTACGAGAGGCCCATAGGATGGGCAAAGAATTGTGTGAGCTAGTCAGAAAGCAAGAAGGAGCGTAGCAGAAGTGTGATAATTACACAGGGAAGAAAGTGAACACGAATGTTAGATGAAAGAAAGTTTAGCATGTGGCCGAAAAAAAGGAAGAGCAGACGAGTAGATGAGAGGAGTAGTGGACTACGAAGGGTGTGAATAACGTGCTTGGTGCGTGCGGTAGCGGGGGGTCAAAAAGTGGAGTGGTGGGCGATAAAAAATGGTTTTAGTGGTAAATAGTCGTGTGGGGACAGTATTCCAATTCTAGATGGATAGTCATTTTAAGGTGGCGCTCTATGAAACTGGTCTGAGCTGACACGGATGGCGTAAACAAGGACAGGAAGAAGAAGGAGAAGGAGGGCGCAGTAACGGCTGTACGCAAATTGGTGTAGTATGAAGTTAGAAACATTGCATTTGTTATATTTGTATTGTTATACATGACAGGCAAAA